ATAAATATATTTAAGAAATAACAGCGGGTTTTCCTGCAGGAATTTAGTAAAATATTTTCATACAATTCCCGACCAGATCCGCACAAAGGTCATGTTTTAATCAAGCTCCAAGAATATCCTTTCTTATATCAATACACAAATGTTAACGTTTTGTGAGCATGTGCGCTCGTTGTTTAAGTCAATTTTTGTTTTTTTTTGTTTTTTTGTTTTAACTCCCATCTTTTTTTTCATTTTAAAATATTAACTGATATTAGAGTAAATCTTCAAGTAGAACGAAATAATTTGTCATTATACTTAAAAATTAAAAACACAAAACTTGGAATTAAATGAAAACATTTAAACGTAACAAACTCCAACTCAATATACTCTCACACCGTCAACTCATTTCCAGCGCGCTATCGCTCGCGCTATCGCTGTTTCGATTTCCTCATCAATGACGATTTTTATTGGTTAGCGTGAATGCAGCTCATCATAGACATCAGCGTAGTAGCTGGAAAAAAACCGTAAGTTGAGCGCGAAAAAAACATTTGGCGCTCAGAGCGCACTGGAAGTATAAACGCCTGGAAAATTCACCAATGCGCAACAGTTTCAACAATACGGCGCAGATTTTTCTCTTAAACGCCGCTACGTCTGCTCTAATCCAGAATCCATTTACTCTTACGCGATGTCGCTTGCGCTCCGCAGCTGCGCGCGCTCTATAATTTCGCTGCTGTTAACGGTTTAGCACTGCGCCGCCGTCTGTTGGCAGCGCCGCGCAGTCGCAGCATAGCGGCTTTTTGTGTATTTCATATCCGTAAGCGCACTCTCTCTACAACTTTAGCATGAGCGCGCGCTCGCGCTATCAGCTGCGCTAAACTTGCCGGCCAGCAACTTGTTTGCTTTTGATCTCAAAACCACTGGCTTTGCTTGACTTCGATGAGACTCGTTTTTCATTTCGCCTGCATTCGGCAACTGTTGCTGTTAGCCACATCGTCGCATCAGCACCAAAACCACGTTTGCCGCCCGAACACTGCAAGCGTCCGCTCGACGGTCGCCAAACAGCAAGCCAACCGCCGCTCTGTATTACTCGGTCAGTCGGTCTTTGCGAGGTTGTTGCTACGAGAATGGCACACGATTTTTTCTTGCTGCTCGATTCGTGTAGCCACTGCCGCCTTATTATTTGTTTTATTTCACTTTGTTTGCCAATGCAATGCAATTGCTGTTGCTGTTGCCATTGCGGTTGTGGTTGTGGCTGGCTTTGCGGTACTGGTTGTCGCCGTTTGTTGTGTGTATTTGTTGCTTGTTTGCTTCATTATTTCTACTCGCTTGCTGTTTTTGCAATTCTTTGCAATTTTTCTGCCGCTTTGCTGCTTCGCTGATTTGGCTTGCTACTACACCTTGGTTTGTGTTTGCTTGTGTGTGTGTGTGTGGGTCTGTGTGCCAGTGCCTTCCATTGGAATTTCATTGCATTTCGTTGCACCGGCATCGTTGCATGCGCGCCACCGTTGCCCCCACCAACGCCAGCTTGTTGCTACCAGCCTCGTTGCTTCGATTGCAATTTTTCGCATTTTCATGCTACTTTGCTTGCCTGCCTGCATTGCTGTTGCTTCTGCCTGTGTTGTTGGTGCTGTTATTGCATTTATTGTGTTTTGTTGTCGTCGCTGTTGTTATTGTTTTTGTGCATGTTGCAGTTACTCGCAACGCTCGCACGCTCGTCCGCCACTGCACTGGAATTGCTAGGCGCTGCTGGGCTGCCTGCCTGACTGCAGTTAGCCCGATCTGGTGGCTTGCAGTTTCTGTACGGCTTTCTTGCGGGATTGTTTGCACATTTTTGCACAACGGCAACTCGCGCGTGCAACGTGCAACAGCAAAACGGCAACGACAACAACGTCGGCTTAGTGTAATCGCAGCGTTTCGGCGGACGTAATTTTCTGAAATATTTCATTCGATACGTTTCGATTGACTCTGTTGGCTAAAGCGCGTGTTAGCATGCGATTTTTGCATTTATTTAATGTGTTTTTGCATTTTTGTTTTCTTTCATGCACTCAAAACAAAACATAAATAAAGTATGCAGTGTTCAAGTGTTGAGAAACAACAAAGAAGAAATTATTACGTAAAATAGAAATTATTACATTAGAAAAATATTTTCGTGAAGCGTGCGATTTTTTGCTTAGTGGCAAATCTGCTACAATAGTTCGAAGAAAAAAAATAAATATTGGCTGTATTTTATTTTAATTAATCGTATAGACAATCTGTTAAATATTCTGCTGAAAACTAAAAAAAAAAATAATCAAGCAGATAACAGTGTTTGTGTTAAAAAAGGTTTAGTCATTACTAAACTCAAAAATAAAAATATTGAATGTATAAAAAAGGAACAAAAAAAATATAATATAACATTTCACAAAAAACAAAAAAAAAGTACAAAAACTATGAAATTAATTTTGCAAAAACATTGAAATTAATGTTTGAGAATTTTTTCATATATAATATTATTAATAAATGAAAATAAAAAAATGCAATTCTGAGATTTGTGTGTAAGTGTAAATATTAGATATTTTAAGAAATTAAATTTCGAAAAAAAGTTCTCTGACTTAATAGCTTAACGAATTACGTAAAATACTTTTGTGTGCACGATTTCGTACAACCTCGTAACAAAATATAATAAAATCTGACTGCATATCAGCTGGGTGTTTTGAATTTTTTTTTCAAAAGTATATTTGAAGCTTAAGTTGGCTGTTTAGAATAAGTTTCAAAACTTATTGGCGAAAATGTCAAAAACGCGACTATATCGTGTAAAATTATTTTCTAGAGTAGCATTGTCTTTGAGTTTCAATTCACCGAGCTGCCAGCTGTTAAACAGTCATAAATTTATTGAGAACAATCTTTTTTACACAATTTTTACGCAATATTTCTCTTTTCGACTTGTAAACACCTGGTTGAAGTCCTGGGTGTGGTACCACTTTGATAATCTGTTGAAATGTTCATAGCAACACTTCAAATATAAATAACTAATATTAAATTTTCTAATAAATTTTATACATT